AAAAAAAAAAAAGAAAAAAAAAGAACTATATAAATATTGACGAAGATATAAAAAATAATATCAAGATAAAAGTAAAATATGAAAGAATCACCATTTTATAATTCATATAAATTGAAAATCTTTATTTTGTCACATTTAGGATAGTCTTGAAAATTCGTGAACAACAACTAGTAATGCATGCATGGTAATGTTAGGAGATGCAACAATAATTTATGTTGGACAACATATGAGATGAGTACCTTCAATCAACCAATATTGGACAATATATATATAGATAAATGGGTACATTTATTCGATGTTAATGTTTCTAATCTTTTTTAATTAAATTTTATTTTTGAACTAATCACGACTTTAAAGATAGTTATAGCGTATGACATCTTTGGCAATTCAATTTTTTCAAGAAACAAGTCTCACTTTTAAGATAGTTATTTGAAAAATGAACTTTAATCCATTTGAATTATTATAGGGATTTAAAACCCCACAGTGAAATAATGTGTTAAATTTATTTGGCTTAATTTCGATTAAACTAAAAAATAGTTAGATTGTTTATTATATAAAAGTTGTAATTTTACTTACAAAAAATTGATTATGAATGAATTAACTTGATCAGCATCCACTATGCTGAAAATAGTCGAGAATGAAACAATCAAATATAGTTGGTTAGTTTTCAATTAACAATAAGAAAAAGGCAAAATGGCGGGAATTAACACGACCTTTACGCGTTTGGCAATTTAATCACGGCCTTCAAACCTTGTCAGAAAAATACATGACCTTTACAATTTTGGCAACCCGATACATACTTCTAACTGCCGTCAACGGAAGTGTGATGTGACAATTTAACTTGACGGAAACACCAAACGGGCGTCCGAGTCAGCGTCCAGGTGGCAATAACCCTAGTATAAAAAATGTTTCTTCCCCAAATTCACCACAATCGTTTATTTTCCCCAAATTCATCACATGCCCTAACCCTAATTGACCCCAATTCACCCCGAGATGTCGTCATCTTCTAGCTCAGGTTCAAGGAGATTGAAATCAGTATGTTTCCATGGAGACGAAGCAGTTATATTCACGTCAAATACCGACCTCAATCCTTGTCGTCGATTCCGACATTGCCGCAACATACAGGTGACTTCGATTTCGTTTTGCAATTTTGTTTTTTATTTAGTTTCGTGCCGATATGACTATAATCGTGCCGCTGTGAGTGCAATTTGGCTTTGTTTTTGTAATTTCATGCGTGGTCGTTCTGATATGAAATGCTGAGTTCAATTTCAAATGACGAGTTCAATTTGATGAAATGAACACAGAAAAAACGAGTGGAATTTGACTGTCTGGAGTTCAAAGCTTCTCTCCTAGCCTGAAGATACTCCTCATCATCTGTCCCTAAATCTTCATCAAACAAACCATCATTACTTGAAGATTCACCAGATGGTTCATACTCCTCATCCTCACTTTCATCTAAAGCAAACTCACCCAGCTTTTCACTAGTATCCTTTGCTTGGTGTACTTCAGCAACTTCAGATACCCTATTCCTATTTCACTTTTCTTGTTGACAAACAACAGCAACTTCAGGTACCCTATTCCTATTTGACTTTTCTTGTTGACAAACAACAGCAACTTCAGGTACCCTATTCCTATTTGACTTTTCTTGTTGACAAACAACAGCAACTTCAGGTACCCTTTTCCTATCTGACTTTTCTTGTTGACAAACAGAAACCACAGACGGTTTGTTCAGTTTTCAGTTTGCACAAATATTTCAACATATCTTCTGTTTCTCTGCATTTGACCCAAACATGCCATAACACCAGCATCATCTTTTATATCCTGAAACTCATGTGTTGTCCGATGCTTATAATATATTCTACCCCAGTTTTCATATCCAAGCTTCTTTATTTGATCTTCGATGTCAAAATAACCTAGCCTATCTGCATCCAACCCAGTAACCGTGGCAACACAATCACCATAATAATACTCATGCCTTTCGAGAGTGAAAAATCTACCCTTGTGATTGATGAATAACATAAAGAAATCACTGCAAATTCAAAAAATCGAAAATTTTTACCAATTCGAACCCTAAAAAAACTAAAATCAATTGAACATTTCAACTCTGAAAAGGCATTTACCTTGCGACTATGATGTTAACAAGTTCTTGTGTATGCTCACGATAATCGTCACGAACATATGGAAGACACACCCTTGTAATTTTGGAGCAAATAAAAAACGTAGGGTTTGGAAATGAAAAATCAGGAAGGGGATTTGGGGAAAATGAACGATTGTGGTGAATTTGGGGAAGAATCGTCTTTTATACTAGGGTTATTGCCACCTGGACGCTGACTCGGACGCCCGTTTGGTGTTTCCGTCAAGTTAAATTGCCACATCACA